CGGCGGTTACACTTGTGCTGGCCTTCCAGGAAGCCACAGGGCAGGGGGAGACTGTGCAGAGCAGCCGTAGGAGTGAGGATCAGGCAGGCCCAGCGTGTGGGCCAGCCCATGACATACATAGAACCGTAAAGCAGGCTGGAGATGGTGCGTCCGGGCGCGCACATGTGTATAGACCCGCAGGCGTGTCTATACGCCGGGTGGGCACCTGTCGTGTGAGTGGCTCTGGGCGCGGCTGCTTCTCGGACCTCCAGTCTCTGTAAGATTTATTCTTAGGGGCCTACCCTCCCCTTTCTCCAGAGGGGAACGTAAGAAGTTTAACGGAGCTGAGACTGAGCAGATTAAGGGAGTGGAGCAGACGCTGGGCCCGAGAGGGTGGGGACTGCGGGTGCTGGAGGGTAGACCTATTTGTCCCGTCTCTCAGCCAGAAGGCGTTTTGCAAAGACTGGCATGACAAAGGTGGCCCTGAAATGCCCACAGAGCCCAAGCGGTGATGAGCACTGAGTGAGTGGCCGTGGACTGAGCTTGGTCAATTTATTGCCTGGAGGGATGCTAGCAGTTAGGAAGGTAAGGAGGAAACTCAGGATGGGGACCATCTGCTCCCCGAACCCGAGCGGGACAAAGGCATCATCGGAGGTCTGCAATGCCGACTGGATGGCCTCGCTCCCCCCTCACCTCCACAACGTCCCCCTTTCCAATCTGGCAATCCCAGGTATTCTTCTATTCCTACTTGTTCCCAATGTGTTTAATTCTGCCATTGTAGTGTTGTTAATGGGTCAGGCTGTGTTTCTGTTGTGCTGAGAAAATAAATGTCAGTGACCCCTTTTTATTTTCAATCCAAAAACTTAACCCTTGAAGCTGCTGCTTTAAAGAGATTTAAGTACACTGCATCATTGGCAAAAGGAAATCATGAGAATGCAACTATTGCTGGTTTTGTTTGTGGTTTGTTTATTTTGTTTATGTGTTATAGCCTCATTCCGAGGATATTAGCCTTCTTAATTTGGGAGGTAGGGTATGCATTTACTTGAATCACATAAAGAACAAAGAAGGAGAAATCAAGGGTAAAGTCGTTAACACTTTTAGATCTGGATTACAATTTCAACAGGGAAATATTTTCTTTCTCATTTATCTGATCTTGTATATTGGGGGGAAAAAAGGAAAAACAGAAGCACTAGAAAATAGGTTCAGATTCAGGGCTGGGTATAAAGACAAGTTTGTTGTTGGAAAAGCTGGAAATAGGGAATAGCAAGCTCTCATCACAAGTAGTCGTTAGGTGTGATGAGGTGGTGGTGTTTGAAGCTTTGCTATATATACACACAGGTGTCTGCCTCACTGGTCCAGAACTACATCCTCAAAAAGCATTTCTGCTCAGCCACTGTCTTTCTGCTGGAGCTTTTATACCTTGACATCACTGTCGTTAGATTTGTTAAATATGCCTTCTACCTTCCACTCGAGAGATTGTTAAAGCATAGTTTCTAGGGAAGGGTGTTGGGCTAATACAGTGAGCGCGGCCCAGTGTGCTGAGCAAAGTCCCGCAATGCCAATACTTGGAAAGCTCTCCCAGGGGCAGGGATGGACTACTGCCAGTCCTCTCCTTGCTTGGAAACATAGCAATTCACATTCACCCCTAGACAACCGGACGAACTCCCAAGCATTCCCTGGACCAGTCTGCCTTTTTGATGTCTAAGAAGATGACCTCATGCAAACCCCATCTTTGCTTTCTATGCCTGAGAAAGAACAGTGCTGGCTTCAGATGCAGGCTTTTCCTGACCTGCCTCTTTTGGAAATCTTCCAGATTCATTGTCCTCCTGGGCCCTTGTTGCTTTTGAGCAAGAACAGGGCTGCTAAATTTCTTTATGATTATGGTCACTTACCTTTTATCAGCCATGGACTGCAGTTCTTTGGGAAAAACTAGACGGTCATGCCTCAGAAAGGGTCTTTTCCATGTTTAATTGGTGGTCGAGTGGGCCAGTTTCAACTTTAATCATTTGCCTTCAGGACTTAGGATAGAATTATTTTGTTAAGTGATATGGGCAGGTAGTGTGTGTTGCAAACAGAATGGCATCTCAGGCAGGCCCTAAATGACTCTATCATACAGGGCATGTCCGGGGTAGGTTGGCACTTCCTCCTTCCTTGTACTTTGGATGGCTCAAACCATAGCAGCAGCTCTGCCAATGACTTCACTGTGTATTCTGACTCTGTGACTGTAGAAAGGAACTGAGCATTTGTTCTGCAATCTGTAAGGTTATCTCATAGTTATTAGACTTGCCAGGGAGAACAATCGCCCAGGGCCTGCTGTTGCTGCAGGTGCACATTCTATGATTACCTGCCTCAAAGGACACAGCCGTTTGTTCATCTTGCTTTGTGAAGTCCAGTCCTAAGAAAAAGAAGAAGAAGAAGCAGAAGAAAGGAGATAACAAAAAGGCCTTGACTCTCAAAAGATCGCTACTGTGAAATGCTCTTTTCAGTTGAAGTGTGTGTATATGTAAGCTCAAGACAGGAAAATCACATATGAAATGAACACGTATCCATGGACTCCCCACTGCTAGTTCTCTTCCCTCAACCTTGAGCCTAGTACTCCCCAGATAGATGCTAGCAGTCAAGTTGTGCCAAGCCTTGCTGAGAATTTCTGAAATACGGAAGACATTCAGGAAGCGGGGGTCACCATCTTCCTCCCCTTCCTTTCTTCCTCTTGCCCTTATCATCACCTTCATCTTAATAGTTATTTACTGATCAGCACCCACTGGCAGACATTACTTTAAAACCTTACACCTCCATGAAGCAAGGAGGGAATTACTGTTCAAAGAGGTTAAGTAATTTTCTCAAATTCACATAAATAGTCAGTGGTAAAACTAGTATTTAAGCTCCTATGTAGCTGCAAAACCCATGTACTGTCCCCGTGTCTCTGAGGGGCCCAGAGAAGAGAAGTCTAACACAAAACCAACTTTCAAAGGCCATCCTCTGCAGTGAATGAAAGAATTTTTAAAACTAGTTGGTCTTGGGTTAGCTCCATAGTGCAGAGGTTAGCATTGTGCAGTGGAAGCTGGATCCTACGTCGCTGAGCAGGGTTCAAGTCCTGGCCTCTACTTACACTCTAGGCATGAATACATACCCAGGATCCCGATGCGATGCAAAACTGGAGGAACAAAATTGCAGTGTGACCAGGCCTCCTTGGGGAGTGTTTTCTCTCTCTCTTGCACATGCGCACACTCATGCACCCTCTGACATGATAAAAATGATGGGAAAAAAAAGGAGGCTTGGGTCTTTAAAAAAAAACTACGTGGTCTTTATCTGAGGACTCTATAGTGCTGTGGAAATATAGACAGGTAGACAGACACGTAAATGTACACATATATATTTGAGTGATATGTATATGCACAAACACATTTACATACATATACATACACACACACATCATTTTGGCCAGTTTTATGCGGGTGTGCTCACATGCCTGATTCGGGCCTTCTGTAGACTGGTCAGATCTGCTGGGATGGGGATGGGGCACCAGTGACTTGGAAAAGGTCAGGGAAAAGGCAGGGGTTCTGGGAATCAGCAGAACTGGGATGGAGTAAACTGTGTCAGATCTGAGTGCACCTGCTGCATTTGCCTAAGTTGTGATGAGAGAGAACATGTGTGAGTGTGCACCTCTCAGCAGAGCCTCGATGTATTATTTTACTTCCCCAACTGTTAACAACACCTGTTAATGACCAGTGTCACCCAAATGTGTGGAACTGTCTCAGAGAAAAACCTCAGAATAATTCCCATTGGGAATTGTATCAAGTCACTTGATGTCTCAAGAGTAAAGGATCCAGAAATTACACAAGTCAGATTTTTAATTAAAGCTTTAAACTCGACAAGCATTTTCATTGATGTCAGTGGAAGCATGATAGTCTCTGTGGACAGTGGATGATGGGAAAAATATTTTTCTATACCATATACTGCTTTGGAAATTAATTTTTTCTATGTATGTTTTAGTACTGCTTCTTTCTCTCTCTACCATTCTCTCTCTTTCTCTCTCTCTTCATTAAAGGGAAACTATTTAGTGTATTGGGAAGACCTTGAAATTATGGGTCTTGGAATTTGTTGTTGATACTGACTGTTTGACCTTGAAGAAAAATCTGAATTTCTCCGGACTTACTTTCTTTATTTGAAATTGTGATATTAGAGTCAATGAAATAGAGAGCACTTTCTAGATTAACATTTATTTGATCAATTTTAGGGTTTTGTTTGCTTGTTGATCTTTGTCCAAATGTAGAAAGAGATAGAAAGAATGATCAGGTGGTTGTAGGTCTGAAAACCATTTTTTAAAGTTTGTTTGTCTCTTTCACTAGAGAGAGAGTGAGATTCGGAAAGAGAGAGAGAGGTAGGCCCAACAGGGTCATCACACCACAGTCCACACTTAGCTTAGCCTGCTAGGATCACAGGCATGTGCGTATGTGTGTGCAGCCAGCGCATACGAGGAGACCTCTGGATAAGAACCGGTGACCTTCCTATGTGTCTTCAGCACAGTGGAGCATTGTGTTACTTCTGTGCACTCAAATTTGACATAGTTTACTCCATCCCAGTTCTGCTTATTGCCAGAAACCCTGCCTTTTCCTCTAAAGGTTATTTCTTTTTTTTTTTTTTTTTGGAGAGATTTTCACTATAAGGTGCGTGCGCTCGCCAGACAGACAGAGAGAGACAGAGAGACAGAAAGCGAGAAATCACCCCCCAGGGGGGATGGTCACGCCGCAATCCCTTCTCTTCCATTCTCCTCTTGGGATCTTGGGCACGCATGCACACACGCCCGGCGTGAGTTTTAAGCCACCGGGTCCGGGACGCGAACCACTGTTGACTACGTGGGAGTCCAGCGACATAGCCATTATGCTAACTGCTGGTTCCCCTAAAGGTTATTTCTTTCATGCCTCTTCAAAATAAGAAATTATTGGGATCAGCAGGTGGCATGGTGGTTAAAGTGCTGGACACTCCCACATGGCGGACCACAGTTCAAGTCCTGGACCTGGTGGCTTCCTTTCTCACTTTCTCTCTCTCTCTTTCTCTGTGTCTCTCTCTGGTCAAATTAAAATAAATGAATGAATAAATCAAATTAAATAAATAATTCTTTAAAAAATAAGAAATTATTTTCAGTATGTGCAAACAAGGACTCACAATTACTGAATAAAGCAGAGTCTACTTACTTTAGTATCATAAAAGGGGTTGTAGATTTGTTAGTCTAAATCAACGTTCATCTCAACAGATCCTGTGAGAACTTCCATGCACAGGCCTTTGGGAGGCCCAAAGATAAAGCAAGGAAGCCCTTTATGCAGTCAAAGAAGTTTATGAGGTGGTGAGCTATAGATAGATGATAGATAGATAGATACAGATAGATAGATAGATATCTACCACACATCACTAAGAAGAAAAAAGACTCATTGGGATAAAGGTTAAATTAGAGACATAAATCATGCATTACAGACGCTCACAGAATGGAAAGAGTAATTTCAACTTTTTCATCTCTGGATTCTGTATTGTCAAGAAAATGGCATTTGATTTAGGACTTAAAGAATAGACAGGATTTCAAGAGATGGGGCTTAAGGTTCAGGGTTGGGAAAGGGGCTTTTCAGGTGCGATCCATCAGTGGAGCTAAGAAATGCGGGGTGTGAATGGCTGGAGGACACCCTCTCCCTTCCTTCTGCATCCCTTGTTAGAACCTTTATCATAGCACTTCTCACC